TTGGAATTCGTATTTAATTCGGAATCGTATTGTCGATCAAATTTCCTTTTATGGTAATACGACCACATGTATGATATTAACTATAGTCTACATGGGTATTCAATTCTTCATTTTCATCAACTAATGGAGGACTTGGAAGTCTACTAGATGCATTGAAATTATAAATACTTGAACCTTTCGAAAATTGCTTTTCATTCAAAATAATTGAAGTTATTACCGAGGCAGGGCTTTTCAAGCATCTGAACCTTAACAAGAGGAGGATAGTTAAGCTAGCTGGTGTTTTGGGTGATTCTTTATTAAGTAGATCTTTTGATAAGTTTTCAAGCTGACTAAAATTTTTATTATAATTTTTTTTTTAATTGTAATATAATTTGCAATATACTTTTTATTGGTTAATTAAAGATATCTCTATATTTTATCAAAAGTTGTTCTTCACGAGAATGAGTAAATATCTTTCATGCTGCTCTAGTCATAAGTTTTTGGAATTTATTTTGATTTTAAAAAAGCAATTTAGCATATTTTCTACGAATTTAAACTTTTGCATCACCTATCATAACTAATCTGTTTTCAATATTTTTTGTTACTTGATTGTATAATTGTCTAAATAAGTTCTCAAATTTCGTTCTAGTTTCGATAGCCAAATTATTACCATTTTGAATTTTTTCCTTGTGTAATACTAAATCCAATTTGTTAAATTCCAAGCAATTATGTTTAATAAAGACAACAATAGTTTCTACTGGAATCATTTTTAAATTTTTTTCTTCTTCTAATATTTTTTTCTATTTCTTTTACAACATCATTTTTAAATTACAGCATATTGATTCTTTTATAATATTTTAAATATGTTTCTCCAATATTAACTAGTGGAAAATTAGAAATATCTTGCATGGGAGATTTTTCTTTTTGATTGCTGTATTCTATGAGTCCCGAATTGTTGCGATCTGAAGTTACAAATTTGTTTGGATAGGAGTATGTTCTCTCTGATTATTGTATTTTAAGATTCTCGAAGAATTGGGGTTCAAAGGCCTATTATATAAAGGTCTAGTATCATTGTCTAATTCCATTGCCATTGGTTCTGTGGTGTTATTTATTGGTGTACTTCTTTCTTTGCTCACATGATGATCATCATAAAATATAGACTCATCGAGGTCAATATCTTCCTTCAAAGTGCCAGTAAGCATATTGAATTTCTCTACATATTCCTTTAATCTATTTAAAATGATGTTTTGATATTTATTATTTAAATTTTTTATTCTTTGATAAAGCCCGGGATTCTCTTCTAATAGTTTTTTTAATTTTTCAAAGTCTCCTAATTTAAATTCTTGCCAATATTTATCTTCTCCTGTGAAATTTGCAACTAATAATATTGGTCCAAAAGCTTTGAAATATATGAAAATTGTAATCAAAATTGTTATAATATTTCTAAAATAAGTCCAAGAATTGTTAAAGTGTTTTGAGTAAATAGGATCGTCTCTGTCGTCACAATCTGTTAATTCATTTGTCAGATTTAATATTTCGGATTCAATTGATTCGATCTTATTTTTCATTTTATTGAAGCCCTTTTTAAAATCTTTATTTAATGATTTTGTTTCTCTGTTGTAAATTATTGCACTTGTTGCATTGAAATCAGGTTTTCCTTTAGATGACTTAAATTTCCAGTTATTTAAAATTGATCTTAATATTAAGTATTTTGAAATGTTCTCATAATTCATTTTAACTGTTGCCACTTTTTTTTGTATGAAAATATAAATGATACGTTTCAATTTTTCTTCATTTGTTGTTGCAGTTGAGTAATAACTATCGAGAGTTTGAATGAGGTCTTCTTCGTTTCAAGTAATAAAACTTGCCCAAGAATCTACAATCGAATTAACATCTTCATCGTTGTAATGAGTCAAATAAAGAAAGAATTTAAAGCATTTGGATCTGATGACTTTATCTGAATATCGAATTCATTTATTATCTGAGATTTTTCATTGAGTGGTTTTTGACTTATTGTCACATCTTTCTCTTCCTTAAGATGTAAGATCCATTTTGTTGATTTATTATTTGGGTACTTGATTGTAATTACAATATTTTTGCAACTTATATATCTCTTACTCTTTAGCACTATATATATGGCTCCAAGTAAGGCTACTGAAATATTATCATTTTCTTTTTGCGAATTTTTATAATTATTCAATAATTTATTACACCTTGTGACTATGTCGATTAAATATGGATCTGTCAAAATTTCACTTTCTTTTATAATCCTGTTCTCTGGAGGATTGTATGTTGTTCTATCAATTTTTTGTTGAACGAATCAAGTTTTTAGTACATCCAATAAGATTTCGTCGTCTAATTCGTTTGGTAGTGTAAGCATTTTTTTTGAAAGAAATGTTATATTATATGTTAATATGTTAATTTATTGAATCTTTTAACTTGAAGTTTAATCTAGTTATTCAAATTAGCAATCTTTTTATTAATATATCAATTTTTTACTTTTTCATTGTCAATTCATTATCATCTCTGAGCTTTTAATTATTAATTGATATCAAATATACTAATTTTAATTGTCATAGCTGGTTTTAATTGTGAATTAATAAAGTTTTTAAGTTGTAGTCTTTTTAATTGTCAATTCACCACTATCTAATTTATGTGATTACTAGTTTTTCTGTAAAAAAAAAAAATTTTTAGAAAAATTTTCTATTCATAATTTTCATGTCACAAATTAGTCAATTCATAATTGTTAATTTTAATTATCTATTTATCAATTGCTAGTTGCGTTACTGATCTACTGTATTATATAGTTATCATATGACAGGTTTTTCTGCTCACGTGTTATTTGTCAATTTATAAGAAAATATAAAATTAAAAAAATCATTTACTTGCATAATTCAAAGGAATAGTTGATCTTTTAAGTGTAATTTTTTAGTTTTATAATCCAACTTATTTATTTATAAGATCTTATACTAAAGAGACCAATACGTCTAATTGCAAGTCATTAAATAAAACATTGGTTTTTTTTCTTTTTGAATCCTTTTTTGTGGATAGCAAAATTAACATAAATAAAAAATATTCTGTAAAGCAGTGAATTATTTATTAAGTAGGATTTATTTAGTTATACCATATAAATTTAATGCATTCATACTCATATGTACTTTTTTGGCAATATATATTATTATTATATTATTAGGTCACGGTAGGAGTAATTATAGAATTTATTAGAACTCCAATATTATAAATCTTTATTGTATTTTTATATACCATAGCAAGTTTCGATCGTATAATAAATATGCATGCATGCAATGTAAAGTTAATAGTGATCTTTGTTAAATTTCAGTATTGTAGATTTACGCGTCAGTCCAGTATATACATGTGGTGTAAATTATTTTGCTGTTGACTCAATTGTCAAAATCCTCAAAAATAATTGTGTCTGACTCAATTATTTTATATGTTTTAATAGTGACTCAATTAATTGCGTCAAATAATTGTGTCAATTGCGTCAAGGATCTACCAATTTCTATCACATATATAGTCCAGTATATGTAGATAAATATTATACAAATTTGCTTTATATATAAGTTTAAGCTTATCTGTATGGGACTTCACTAGTAATAATAGCTAAATTAGTTATCTTCTGTCGTGTCATTAGAAATGTGAAATATTTACGTGGTATTCTCTTCCTTAAAACATATTGTTATGATCCCAATATTTCTATTTTATGTCAAAAGAACAAACAAACATCAGGGATATTTAATTAACATATTAAAAGTTCATATTTTTTTAAACTTTGTATTGTTTTTACAGAGTTTTTATAAATATACGAAAAATTTCTTAAAAAATAAACTTCAGATATTACTTGAGTGAAACATGAGCCAACAATTATTTTGACAAGACAAGGTTTCATCTATTGATGTTCACATTTCAGAAGATTTAAGAGAGTCAAATAAAATATTTATTGGTAACCAAGAACAAATAATTAATCTTAGTTGTAAGGCCAATGAAATCCAAACAATGGTCGGAGATATTATTAACAAATACTCTAATATTAAAACCACTTTGGATCTTTGCGAATTGTGGACACCATCCAAAACGAGTAGAGCTAAAAACATCACCCGTCCACAAAATGCTTTTATGCTTTTTCGAAAGGACATGTCAAAAGAGTTTTATAAAGTCAATTAATCTTTATCAGTCGGTGATTCTTCCATTATTGCGTCGAATCGATGGAATGAAATTTCTAGTATCAAAAAACAATTTTGGATGGATTTAGCAAATGTTTGTAAGAAATTGCATTCTTGCAACTATCCAAATTATAAATATTGTCCAAAAAGGAGAATTGATACTGCTGATAATAAAAGAAAGAAAAAAAGAAGGTCTCGTAAAGAGAAGGCTGCTCCTTATGCTCTTAGAAATTCAAATCTTACAAATATTATAAAGCAAGCTTTTGTCGACCCTTCCATCATTCCAAGTCAGTATTTGAACACTTTATCCAAAACAGTTGTTCCTTCATCTTCAATTACTAAGTTTACGCATAGACCTACTGCTTAATCATCAGCAGTTAATGTTTGAAACAGGCAAAAGATTATTAATCAAACCACTCTATACTCAAACTCACCATGCAAAGCTGATAAACAGAGATATTCAAATATAACTTTGGATGCTTTTTCTGAGACAATTTCTTCAACCATTAATGACAGCACTTGCAAAAATTCTGTATCCACTTCAGCGAGCAAATATTGGGATCAACATTCACG